ATTATATAAATGAAATGGTGACGTTGTAAAAATTATGGATAGCCAAGATAATTATAGAATATGTAAAGGCAGATAAAAACACGAGACATGGAGGAACATTTTGGGTATCTCTCGCGTATTATCCGGCTGTCCGAATATTTCGGAAAATTTCTCAAAATACCCGGATATTTGGTTATACCCGGATAATATTTCTACCGTCGTTCATTATTTATTCTTATAATTATTTCTTTTTACTTATTTTTACTTATAAAATCACCTCAAAAATAAATATGAAAGTTAGATCAACAGAAAGCGGATGCTTTATGAAATATTTCGATTCAATATCATTCAAATGTCAAATGTTATTCATATGTCAAAAGTAAAGTATTCGCATTCTATTAGCCTTAACTAATACTTTTATACACAGACTGAACAGGGAGAAGAATAGATTGATGCAAGGAGGAACGGTACGATCTTCGATAAAAAGATTTCTTTTATTGCAAATATCCGGATAATACATGCGGGTTCGGAGGATACACCCGGCTACAAAAATATACGATTCCCCGAGAACTCAGCTCGATATCGGCAGCTTCCGATAAATCCGTCAAGAATCGGAGCTCTCTCGATTCTGTGATGTCGGCGACGCGCCACCGAGCGTCGTCCACTTTCGCTTTAGGATTGCTCCTCCTAATCCATCTTAGCTCACGCTCGCCGAGGCTCACCCCTGCACCTGGGATCACCCTGTATACACGGGCTTCTTATATCTTGATAGACGAGCGCATTGATTGCACGGAGGAAAGCTCGCGCGCACGCGGGGAGTCGCGCTGAGCATCGACCAACCAACCTAAATCTGCCTGACTGCGCCCGAGCACGCGAACCCTTCAGCCTGTCTGAACGGACACCCTTCCATTCCGCGTTCTGCTCCGCGTATTATCTAAACAACCCCTCGGATATAACCCCGCCCGAGTGAATTCGCTCCGTCTGCGGCTCTCCGCCGCGCTCGGTCTCGCGGCAGCCGCTGCCGCCTCCGCGAGTCCGCTCGTGCGAGGTAGCCGCCTAAGGGTGCTTTTCCGCTCGCGCGCAAGCCGTGGAAACCTGATTTCCCACGCCCACGCGGAGAAGCCACCGCCGGGAAGCCGCGAATGATCTCGCTCTCAGAATCGAATTTCCGCCAATTTTGTTTTACTTATTTCTTTCGTTTCTTTTCCTCTTGATTTTCGATTTACCTCGGTCTTTTAATTGTATGCAACAAAAGAGAAAGAGAGAGAGAGAGAGAGAGAGTGAGAAAGCCAAAGCGGTCGCAGAATACGGTGAGATTGCGCGTTGGTGGGTTCGAGCGGCAAACTTCCGCGCCCGAGGACACTCATGGACAAACGATTATCCCACCGCTGCAGGCGGGAGTGCGAATGCGGTGCGATAACGCGGCTCGATGGCGCCTCTTGTTGTATCAAGTGATTATATTAGAAATTGAGTAGGCCGACCACAATAGTTTGCGCGGGCGAACTCTCTCGTAGGCTCCGGGAAAAAGTGCCCACCTCGTCGAATCGGTCGATTGGCTCCTCTTTAACGTCACATTTTTCTCGCGAACCGATACTTGGGATTATATGGAAAGGAAAAAAAGTCAAAGTCAAATTAAAAGTTGCATGTACATTTGCACAGTTGTGGAGTTTCGTGTTAATCGGCCGGATTTGAAGGTGAAGTTGAGAGAGTAAAAGCAAATGTTAAAGATGAAACGAAACCTGAGGAATTCTTGCTTCTTACTTGATGCAACTGTCAATTTAATCGCAAATATATTTGTAATTATATATATGGTTTATATAACTTTATGCATATATATATATATTTTCTCATCTCTCGTATATTTTTTCATCTATTCTTATATTCTATAGTTTTCTTGGCTATTTATTTATAAATTTTATAATGTCACTACTTACTTTACTCATATTTATAAATTTTATGTTTATAATTTCCTTCAGACATTCTTAGATATTTTATTTTATAAATATATGTATAGAAATATTTTATATAGAGATTTATAAAAATATTCAAAACTCTCCTAGTAGTTCTATATTTTATAATTCATTATATATATATACGTACTTTTATGTAATTACTTTCTTTTGTATTTTCATCTTCTACTAATTGCACAATAAAATTATTATTATTGTCATATATTTGGACAATTGTGGTATTTCACATTAATTTTAGGAGGACTTAAAAATGAAATTATAAGAGACAGTGATAACACGTTAAAAAAGTAGAGTTAAAGAAGTTGTTTGCGAAAAGCAACCTAATGGGGACTTTTCTCTCTTTCTTTAACCGTCAATTTTATAATCAATCGATATTTATAATTATATGTGAATTATCGAATTAGCACTCTTTAGGTCTGCGCAATTGTGACATTTTGCGTAATTATCGGAATATTGAAATGAAATTATGAAAGAGTGACAACACATTAAAGAAGGAATTACGTCGCTTGCAGGCTGATGGATCCCTCTTTCTTAATGGGTTTTTATCGTGAACCAATATTTGTAATTACACATAATTATATATAACGTATCAAATTGACATATGTATATTTATAATTGAAACATCCGTTAATTATCGCAATTCATGGATCCGTTAATTATCGCAACAATGGAGTTAGAATAAGACTGACAACGCGTTAACGAACGAATTGCGTTGTTTGCGAAACACAACCCAACGCGGATCTGTCCCTTTATTCAAACCTCGATTCTATCGTCGGTCTAATTCTATGACCTTATACTTCCACATGACTCGTCGAATTAATATTCGCCACACAATCGTAACATTTCGCGTTAATAATCGGCGTTTGAAAATCAAATTACGGGAAGGAAAAGGTGCATTGAAGAAGACATTCGCTCACGAAGCGCAGGTTGGCTCCCATTCTCGCCGCTACCCTCGACATCGGGCATCATGCAGCGGCTGGATTCGAAATGAATGATCTCGCAGGACATTGATTTTAATCTCGAACGATAATTGACCTCATCATCGTCATCGTCGTACATTCCGACGGCCGACGAATCAGGAAACGATAATCTCCCTTACGCCCGATCTTTATTTCAATTTCGAGCGATAACCGGCCAATTTCGCTTCAATCAGATTTCCAAACGCCGGCTGCGGCGGCGGATGTGACCTTAATTATAACGAACGGTCGCGAAGGCAACGCGCATGGAATTGAATTTGCGTCGTTAACGCAGCGGCCGCGCGCCCGCTCCGATAGAATGGTGTAAAATTAAACATTACGCGAAATGTTCTCGCGCAGCACGTCACGCGCGCGCGGAGCGTTATTATATTATTGCTATAATTATTGTTACATGGGCCGACAGTCGGCGAATTCGGTTTACTTTGTAACAGTAATTATGGAAATTTGATATTAGTCTCACTCTTTGTCTCCCTTACATTTCCTCTCTCTTTCTCTTCCTCTCGTCCACCGGGCAGATTTGAATTAAAATTTACGCGATGTTGTAATTCGATACGCGCCCGGAAGGAGATGTAATGGATTAATACGCACGCGTTCCACACTTTGCCGATAAATCCACGTCGTGATTGTTCACATACACAAAAAGAGAGAGAGAGAGGGAGAGGAAAAAGAGAGGGGGCGGCAAGGGCAGGGGAGGTGAGTGCATTGTAATTGATGCGTAATTATAAATGCAATCGTTATTGTGATTATACTGAGTTAGGGATGCAGTAACAACGGTATAATCGTGAACGGAGTGATTTCTCGCGCAAATATAAATCGAAATCCCGTAATAATCCTGTTCGGCTCGCGAGAGCAGCTGCATTCTCCCGGAAAAAAGTGATTTTGAAAACCAACAAGTTAACGTACGGTACACTGCCCGGAAAAATTGGGAAATGATTTTTTTTTAACGCCAATATCGAACTGGCAACTGTTATCGAATAAATTTGACAATGCAGTTGTTAACTAGATTTTTGGTATTTTTCCAATCGTGCACAAATGTCTGGGAATTAACTTGGAACTATCAGCGACCGATTACTGTGGTGATACCTGAATAACCAATAAATGATGAATCAATAATGTATGATACGTATGATTAAAAAATCCTAAAAAACTAATTGCACGGTATGTTGAGGTTATTATACTGATATGAGTACTCAATTTTAACATTAACTTTATAACAAATGAAATTATACCATTTTAGAACTTCCATAAGGATTATACTATTAACCACGTATCGCCAAAGTTGAAAGTACACGTTGAAATAAAAACCTTATGTAGTAATTATGAGCGTCATTTTGAGGTACTTATCTCAAATTTGGAAATGCTACGCGATAATATTTCAAAATTTGGAAGCATTTTGCGGTAGTTGGCGATACATGGTTAAGTACAGTGTATATATCATGCACTCTAGAAGAATATAAATTGATAAGATCATGAAGAATTACGTTTGAACTAAGAAAAATGAGAAAACACCAATAATATTACAAATATTATTCAGGGAAAGCATCTTGTAACATAAAACATAAAATCACATACAAAAGAAACTGAAATGTATGAGATATTATTGCTTATTTTATTGTATAATTATTTTTCATAATTATTTAATATTTAATATATATTATTTTTGTACATGATATATATATATATATATTATATTGTATGATATAAGCTGAGAAAAGCGCGAATATATATATATATATATATATATATATTCTTAGGGCAATATTTATAGCCCGATCTTATATTTAAGATCGTCTTAAATTCATTTTGAGATACTGTAAAAGCTGTTTCATGAGTCATACAAGATAAGCTCAAAACGATCTTAAATATAAAATCGAATTATAAATATCATCATGAATTTTCCAATCTTCGCAATCTCGCTTCTCTCGCAGTTTCGTTCGAAGAATAACTTGCTTCACGATTCGCGAAGAATCTCTTCTCGTTTGAAGTGTACGACGAGAGGAGGAAACGAACCAACGAGGAAGACGTAGTCTCGTTGACAGAGGCAATTGAGATAATTTGATCGTTTCTGTTTCAGGCACCTCGATACGACAACAAACGAAGAGTTGGAGAGCTGAGCACAAGGCCGCGAGGACACTCGGCATTATCATGGGGGCATTTATACTTTGTTGGTTGCCGTTCTTTCTCTGGTAAGCGTCGTTAAAAAATTCTGCACAAATCGACCGACGATTATATATTAAACTAAGAATAAACTTCTCTCGTGGGAGTTGAACGGAAGACGTCTCGATAAAACTAAAGTTACACCCGACGTCATTGCTAAATATCAAAGAATTTGTTAAGAGAGAGAAAGAAAGAAAAGGTGAGGGAATAAGAATAAACAGAAAATAAGAATAAACGAAGGAAAAAAAAAATACATATATATATAGAGAGAGAGAGAGAGAGAGAGCATCGAAGTGTATAATTTCGTCGAGCTAAGTAGTTTCATTTAAAACGAAAGCTATTTTGTCATAAGAACTCAGAAGTAGACTTTGCGGGGAGCGAACGAACGCCCAGTGATATTTTTACCGTCGGATTTATGTATCGAATCTTCATCGTCATCCTCGTTCCCGGGTGAGACAGAGTTCGCTTTGTTCATGCCGAATATCTAGTTAGCACGGATATATATATATATATATATATATATATATATACGTGAGAATTATAATTTATATATATATATATATATACACACATACAC